CGGCGGGTGTGCCCGTGTCCTGGGGAGGATGGGGGATAAGGGACAGATCTTTAACCCCTCCACAGTCTAAGTTTAGGAATAATGAAGTTTATGAGTTATGAATATATTCTTGCCATTTGTGTTCCTAGAGAAAACTTTCTCAGTTTAAAGAGGCTGCATCACCTGAGGTAATAATTGCCTTCCCTGCACCTGCTGTCCATAACGCACCCAGCTCTGTTCATGGTTTAACCTTGCAAGCCCAGCCTTAGCTGGGAGCTGTGGCAGGACCAGCTGCTCCCTGGCAGCCCCTGCCTTGGTCTGTTGCTGGGTATTGGGGTCCTGGGGTGGGCAGGACCAGCCCAAAATGTAATGTGCAAATTTTAGGATCTGGCCTGGATTTTAACCAGATTTTAGAGTTTGCTCCTGTTTCACCTTCCCAGCAGTAAGTGTTAATCTGCCTCAGAAGCTAACCCCTGCCTGGGGAGAAATAGCAAAAATGTCAGTGGAAGAGATCTTGGCATCATCTGTGCTGGTGAATGCTTGTGCTGCAGTCTGTCCAGGTCTCCTGGCATGGCTGGAAACACTTGACCTGTCAGAAATGGAGTTTGTGTCCAAAGCTGTTCGTCTCTGCACAGGAGAAGCTGTGCTACCCTTCGGCATTTTAGTGGGACATTTACTCTGAAAAGCATCTTGCTGGGCTCACCCGGCTGAGGGGACAAAACAGCCCTCTGTTGTGATAGGCAGAGATGGAAGAGGTCAGAGTTGAGTGGAAATTGGAGGGGCTGGCCTGCAGCCAAGCAGATTCTGGAGGTGGGCTGAGTTCTGGGCCCTTCCTGATTAGCTGCTGAGAGGTCTTTCCTGGGGAGAGGTGAGGTCAAGGGGGTGGAAGAGAGACCTTTGGCATACCCCACGGACAAGAGTTACATGACTTTGGTGCTGAACTCAGATTAAATCAGCTGCTCTTGCAGGACTCTGGAAGTGCCCCAGTGTCTCTGAGACTTCTGGGTCATCTCAGTCCTTTCTTGCCTTCATTGATAGAAGCACTGCATTGTTTGCACGTGGCCACTTCCTTGCTGCCTGGCCAGCACAGTCATTACATACTTGTATCTCAAAGCCCCACTAGAAACTCTCTTCTTTACTTTTCCACCTCCTGCCTTGTTTTTTCTTCACTTGGGATTTTTTTTCCTTGGCAGAAGAGACTATTGGGCTGGGGTCTGCTATCTCAGACTGCTTGTCCTGAGGCATTTTCCAACAACAAAGCTTTGGTGTGTCTAAACACATTATACAGGATAAGACTAAGACTTGCTGTGCATCTCAAAACTGAAATGAGGTTACCCAGGAGGTGACTCTTCCCTTTGCACAGACAGCTTCATCCCAACCCTGTCTTTGCAGAAGTGAGGTCCTTGCTCTGATTTAAATTCATCCCTTCCCTTTTCCAGTGGCACCTCACCCCTGTTTTATGTATGAGGCATGTTGTCAAAGGAAAATGCAAAAGGAAAATATCAGTGTGATGCCTTCAGCTGCATTGACTGGTTGATGGTTCTGCAGGGGTATGAAATCTTCCATAACACATCTCAGAGAAACTGAGCAGTGGCCAGCTGTGAATGCCCTGTCCCTGGAAATGTCCAAGGCCAGCTTGGACAGGGCTTGGAGCAACCTGGGATAGTGGAAGGTGATTGGAACAAGATGAGTTTTGAGGTCCCTTCCAACTTAAACTCTTCTATTGACTCTAGGATTCTGTGACTGTGATCAGCTACAAAGAAGTTTTTGCTTTCTCTAGGAAAAAAGAAGAGAATAAATTATGGATTACCAGGAGAGGAAAGTTTGTCCTGGAGCATCTTCCCTTTGTTCTGCATTTTCAGTGCAGCTTCATAAGCATACAGGTTCTTCAAATAACTGAAGTGCTATACTTTCCTTACAGGAATAGTTTTCCCAGCATGAACTTTGAAGCAGAGATTCTGACAACTCCACACGATAATTCAGGTATTTGGTAGAAAAAAATAAATTAAAGCAGTCTGCCCACTCAGATTGCTCTCTCTACAAACATGTTTTAATTTTTTTGGAGTTAGAGATTGTTAAAAAAAAGAAAAAAGAAAAAGACAAAGAAGTAGGAGGGTAAACTGACTGCAATTCAGGTGATTTCAGGTTTATGTTAGGGTAGAGTTCAAAGTGTTAAGGATAGATATCGATGTCTTTATCTCCAATAGGGCTGGACCAGGAACACAGTTGCCAAGGACATGTGGTTTTGGAAACAGCACAGGCAATCAATTTGAGATTGCAGGGTCCTGGGTGAGACATACATGGTTCTCTTATTAGTGGTGACTAAAAGCAGGTGATAAAAATGCAACTCTCTAAAAGGCAAAAATGAGAATGAAGATATTCTGCTAAGTCCTGTACTTCATCCTCATTACATTTAAGGGGAATAGCTGATTTTTTTCCCACTGAATGATGCCTTTTCAAGCAGGTGGAGGCTGCACATGAGCACCTTCCTACTGCAGCCCATTGTCTGAGACAGACCCAGCACTGCAGGGCATCTTCTTATGAGCCTCAAGTCTCAGTCCTGCCATTGCTCCTCAGCCCTGAGCAGCTGGCCAGAGCCTGTGCCCTGCCAACAGCTCTGTCTTCAGGATGGAACAGCAGGAAAGGGAGACTTTGCAATAATTTCTTGGAACCCCTTGAGTATCCCTGGGTTTTGGCTCAGAGGGACAGATCTTGGTGTCAGTCTCTCACACATTTGAACATGAGCCCTTTCAGGTGAAATGTTTTGCCCTCAGTTGCCCTCCTGGCCACGAGCTGCAGGTCCCAGCAGGGAATTCACCTCGCTGGCAGCCCATTTCAGTCCCACGCTGTCAGAGTCACAGATGATGCACAGGGGTGACTGGTTTTGCTTCAGCTGCAGGTGGCAGAGTTTGTGGTGCATCACCCCTCCTGGGCAGTGTGCCAGGGCTGCCCATCCCAGCCACACTGGCCAGCATGGGAACAGGTGATGGCCACAGGTTTGGACCCACTGTGTGACTCCCTTCACCCTTTCAGACTTCCAGAAATCCCCCCAGTTCCCTCCCTTCTTGCAAACAGTGTCCCACATCTGGCCAAACATTCTGGGGACATTTTCCTCAGGCTGTCCTGTAATGATGAGTCACTTAGCAAACCTGCTGATGGTGAAGGGTACCCAAGAATAATTTTTGAAGCCTGAGTGTGAACAGCTTGGAAAGTGCATCCTCTGCCTGGTTTTCCCAAATCTCTGGCTCCTGTTGGGTTAGGTTTGGTTTCTCCCATGAGGTAACTGCTTTGACCCTTCTCATGCCTCAAAGCCTCTAACATGCAATCCATATTTGCTTCCCAAGAGCTCTACATGATCCCTTCCATGAGAAGCCTCACAGCTGAGGAGTATGTGGAGGCCTTCAAGTCATTCTTGGATCACTCAACAGAGCACCAGTGCATGGATGAGTTCAACAAGGAACAAATGCCCAACATCGTGGCTGGGTAAGGAGCACTTCCCCCAAGGTGGGAAAGCCATTTGTGATCCTGGGAGTCAGCAAAAACAAAAGAATTTTTTTGGGGAAGGAATAAACTTTAAATGCTTTTCAGTTTTAAGTCCCCTAGTAGTGTTTTTTAGGACATTCTGTTTAATAACTCCAGAGCATGTGCTGTTTCAATTAATACACTGCGCTGCCTCTCAGCTGATGTTAAGGAAAGGCTCAAGACCTCATTCTCATGTCCTTTTCATTAGCTGATTTTCCAAGGATTAAAGTTGGGGTTTGTTTTTTGTTTTTTGTTTTGTTTTTTTTTCTGAAATAAAGCTCTCTTGTTCTCTCTCTGCTTTTGGGACTTCATCACATCCATCCAAGCAGAAACACATCTCTAATTCTCTCCTAGTGGCTAATTCTTGGTTTTCCCAATCCCCTAAGACCTCCTTATTTCTATCCTAAGTTGATTTGCATTGCTTAAGTACCAAATGAAAGTTTTGTAAAGTATTGATGTAATATCTTCAGGCTGGATAACTGCAGACAGCTTCAGGACAGCCTAGATCCAAAGCACAAGAAAATCCTTTCAAATCTGGGTAATTTTTGGATGTTCTAGGACCTGCATTTTTCTCCATTGAGAAAAAAAGCTTAGGCAGGAAACTTTTATTCTACAGATCAGATAGATAGATAGATAGATAGATATAATACACAATAAAATAATAATCATTAAAGATTATATTAGGAAATTTTATTGTGAATTTAAATAATGGAAAACATTGCAGCTTTCAGTGGTGCTGATTTTGGATTTGTGAAAGAGTCTTGGCCCTCATTAGGGCTAAGGCTCCTGGACTTGCTCACACCCTTCAGAGCTTGCTACTCATCCCATTCCTGTGGAATCATTACTGTGGTGCCTCCTGAGACTGTGTTTGGGAAACTCAATCCCTCAGCACAGTCCATGTCTGAGAGCAGAGTAAGGCCATAAATCATGTCAGAGTGTGGCTGTTATTAAATATTCTGCTAGGAAGAATGTGACTGGAGACTTTCAATCAGCAATTTTTCTAAGGTAAAAATTATTGAAGATTTAGACCCTCCTCCCAATTTCAGTCCAAGGTTAATGTTGATAAGAGATAATTTCCAGTCACCTGGAGAGCCAAGTGGTTTTGCTTTTTCTGCTCATTTATATCCAATATTCCCTCCTGAGGGTGCTGAGGTTTTCCCCAGCTCACCTTGTCCCTGCTTCCCCAGCAGTGCCATCCCAGTCAGGTACAGCCCCTTTGCCCTGGCGTTCCCAGAGGCTTTTTCAGCCACAGCCTGAAGAAATCTCCTTGGCAAAGGGTGAGAAACTCTACACCGTGGTGCCTACTATACTTTGAAATATGAGCTGGCTGGTCTGGGCAGGCTCCTGCCCTGCTGGTCATCACCAGGCTCAAAAGGGATGATCAGATTTCTGTCCCGATTCATGTGCAAAACATGGCAATTTCCAGGCTGGAGTGCCATCCAAGCCGTAAGAATGAAAACATGAAGTCATGTGGTAACTGTGGTTAAGTAATGTGTATTTATCCTTTCAGCCTTGGCACTGGAAAATCGACCATCAATGTTCTGGGAGTTGGGAGTGGCACAGGTGAGGAGTGTGGGGATGGGGCACGGGGGACCTGTGGGGAGCAGGAGATACTGAAAAACTGGCAATGAGGATTACTCAGACATTAGTGACAGCACTTCCCAGTGAAGCACAGAAGGGCAGAAGGAAGAGTGGAGCTGGGCAGTGAGAAATGTGTGATTTTAGCTTATTTTCTTCCTCTTGGTAGCTCTCACCTGACTTTATTTGCCTCAAAGCAAGGACTCCTCCTCCTGGTTAGGTGCAAGAGCATCTTCAAACCTCGTTGGAGAGAACTGGAGACATTGGGGAGGCTCTTTCCACCCCAAATCCTGCCTTAGACTGTCCCCCCTGAAGGGATGTCTCCTACTGCTTTGCTATGGGGATCCCAGAGGCCCAGGCTGGGCAATGCCCCGCTGTCAGCAGTGCAAAACCACTGCCATTAGCATGGGACTGCATCAGCTTTTTCAAGACATGTTTCTTTGTTACTGCTGTGTTTTTACCCAGTGATAACTAGGGCTGAACTGCAAATGATATTTTTCCCCAGAGAGAAACCTACCCTTTGGAAAAATAGCTTTAAAGTCGTTCTAAATGCATTTGTGTTTAAAAAAAGCCAAAACAACAAAACAAAAAAGTGGTGAAACAGCCAACTTTGCTCCTAGGGAAACTGGGAGAAAATAAAGAGTAGAGAAAAGAAGCGGTGGTTTGATTTGTCGGAGTTTACTTCTGCTTTGAAAAGTATTTTCAGCTGAATTTTAAGTGCTAATACTTTCAAATGAAAGCATTTTTCTCACTTTTTTTGGTTTTGTTTTCCTGAGTAAGAGAAAATTAGCATTTGATTGTTTTCCCCAACTGGGAATATGTTGGAGCATACGAGAAACCAAGCAGGAAGAAATGATTCAGTTCTCAATTACCCTCTATTTTCATTAAGTAATATAAAACAGAAATTCTGACTCCACAAAAGCACAAGGGGGAAATGAACTTTTAGCATCGTCCTTAATTTTCCTTATGTCCTCTTCAGAGGAGGTTTTAATGGAAAAACCAACCCTGTAAAATGTCCTGTGTTTCCTGGGTGAGTGCCCCTCACAGATGCCAGGACAGGGGTCCAGACCTGCACCCCCAGCCTGCCCACGGCTGCAGGAGCTGAGCTTCTGGGGCTGGGCAGGGAGTGAGCTGGGATGGCACTGAGTAAAAGGTTATATCTGATCCCTGACCTTTTCAGAGGTGGATTCTAGTTTCACAGAGCCCCCAGAATTAGTTTAGTTGATGAAAATATTAATGGGGATTAGTGGCTGACTCCACATCCTGAATGCCTCTGTTGTGGTCCAAATCACGTTTTCTCACTCAGCCCATGTTTTCTCATGGCTGGTTTAACTCAGAGCTGGAACTTTCCAGTTGCAGAGAGGTTCCAGCCCTGTCCCAGCCTTGCTGTGGTCAGTGCTGAAGGGTTGTTGCTGGCAGGGCAAGTTGCAGCAGAGAAATTCCTGCCCTAGAGTGCTGTGTTTTACTGCTTGTTTTTACAGACACCCTGGTTGAAGATGTTATTACCTGCTCTTGCAAATACTGGATTAAGGAATTTTCAGAGGTGGAGAGAAAAAAATCTCCAAACCTAAGCAGCTTTTAAGAGATCCACCTGCTGTTGAACCATCAGTGGCCCCAGGGCATGGGGCAGTGATGTTCTGCCTCGGGCTCTGCCCCCAGCCTGCAGCAGCTCTAAGAGCTCTAAGAGCTTACCAGGCACTTACAAGCAGGCATCTAGGACTGTCACAAATTATTCAGCTGCTTGCTAGTGGGATCTTCCTTCCTGTCAGTGATATTGGTCCCTGCACTTGCCTCCAATGGATGCAGCCGCAGCCCCTCTGTGAATTCTATTTACTGCAGCACCTGCCAAAGATGAGGGCTCTTCCCGTGGCCAGTCCATCAGCTGAAAGAGCAGGGAGGATGCAGGATCTCGTGTCAAGACCTCTCTGTGTGACATTTGCAAGGCCAGGACTATTTTTAGGCCCCACCATCAGCTACAGACAGGATTCTTGGAGAGGTCCCATCAAGGTGGTCGCATCTGCTGCTTATTTACATAGTTTCAAGTGAACCAGGGGGACTCACACTTGGTATATCATGGCATTTCTGGGAAATAAGCAGCATGACCTGTATCACCTCAGAAGAGGCTGGAAATTTCCTAGAACAGGATGACAGACTGCTGCTGGCTCCTCCAGAGATGCACAGGAGCACCAACAGCTAAATTTGCAGGGCACTTCCACACAAATATGAGTCTGTACCTGTATTTCCAAGATAAGCATCAGTTTTTTGATGCCCTGGGTTGAGACCATGTGGACAATCCCCAAAGCGGGGATACATTCAGGACACTGCATGTCAGTGGGTCTTTTCTCTTGTGATGCAGCTCTCCAGGTCTTGGGGCTGTGTCACAGCAGCCACTGTGTGTCCCCAAAGCCAGGGGCCACCCCAGGTGTGCTGGGAGTTACACAGCTGCCTTCCTGCACTCATTAAAACTTGGTGGGGTTGTTGAAAACTAATGTTTCATGGTTATTTTTGTAAACAGTGAGCTGTGGTTCTTTTGACCCTTCTGTCCCACGACCCAGGGTATTGCCATGAGCAGGTTTCTGTGCTGCTGCTCGTCTCTGCCTTGTTCTCAGGCTCCTCTGTACCTCAGTGTTAGCTTGAGCAGCACGATACCACGGTCAGAGTGTCACCAGGCTGTGCCACTGCATGAGCCACAAAGCAGGACATGCCTCACTTCTGCTGGGGGATGTCCTGGCAGGAGCAGTGGCAGGTGCACTGGCATCCTTCCATGGCATTTTACCTGCATTCTAAAGTCATGAATCTGTGTTTATTGAATAGGTGAGCAGGATTTGAAAATGATCAGGATACTGCAGGCTGTGCACCCAGGGGTCTCTATTGACAATGAGATTGTGGAGCCCAACCCACAGCACGTGGCAGCTTACAAAGGTAAGGCTACACCTGCTCCCTGGGTTACAGCAAGGAGCATTCATTTGAGTGATGAGTTTTTCTGCTACTTTATGAAATTCATGGTTTTATTCTACTTTTCTACACCAACAGAGCTGGTGAATCAAGCTCCAGACCTGCAGAATGTTTCTTTTATTTGGCACCAGCTCACTTCCTTGGAGTATGAACAGCAGGTGAAGGAGAAAGGCACACATAAGAAATTTGACTTCATCCATATGATCCAGGTAATGGACATTGCTTTAACACAGGACTATTAGATTTTACTACCCTCTTCAGTTCTGCTGTATGCTTGAATTTAGGACCAGAGCTGAGCACAGCTCTCCCATAGCAATTCTGCCAAAGCTCTAAACACCGAAGCTGGCAATGCTCAGTGCTGTGAGGTGTCCCTAAATGGGCATGTGGAATCAGGAAAGGCTGGGAAGCATCTGGAACAGAATTTAAAACACCTCTAAAAGAAAGGATTTAAGCCTTTGGAGGGTGATTGCACTGTGGAAGAGGAATAATGGCTGTGTGTCACTGTCTCTTCTAGATGCTGTATCGTGTAGAGGATATTCCCAATACTATCAAGTTTTTCCACAGCTGCCTCGACCATCACGGTAAACTCCTGATCATAATTTTATCAGGTAAGGGAGACCTTGTATTTTTTTGTTCCATTGCTGGAGTTTTGAAGAGCTTTGAACTTTGAGAGACACAAATATTTACCTGGGGATGTCAGTGGTGCTTATTCTATAGTAAATAACTAAAAAAAAATCTGGATTTCATACGGAGAATTCAATCTTGGGCTCAGGCTTGGGCCCCAGTGTCTGATGGGGCCACTTGGGCACAGCTTTTGTGCTCTTGCTTCCCTGCTTATGGAATTGATGTAGTAGAGAGAAGTGTGGCTGTCCATGAATGAGGGTCAGCCCTTCCTTATGGTGAAATCAGCACTGTAAAAACACAGCCTGAGCTCTGGGTGGACTCGTACCTTTGTACAGCAATGACCCAGACCCCAGAAGAGCAGCAGCTGCTGCCAAGAGCCACAGGCTTTATGGCAGGACAGGAAAAAAGAGGCACAACACGATGGCACTTCTCAAAAGAATAGTGTTTCGTCCCTTGTGCCATTCATGAACCCCCAGCTCAGGGTGTGGTGGAAAAAGCACAAATTCCCATGTTCCCCATTAAAACTGCCTCTCACGTTGCCTGTAGGTTGTTTCCCTTGCTGTTTGGGGCTGCTTTGAGGTATGTGTTCCTCAATGAGCACTTATAATCGAGGTTTGATGGGTGAAAACGTCTTGGTTCTGGCCAAGGGACAGTTAGGAGGTAGTGCAGATGTTCAGGCTCAGCACATTGTGTGTGTTCCCTTCCTTCTGGGCAAACGCAGTGCTGGAGACATCTCCGGGAGCTTCCTTTGAACAGGACACTGAGGGAGGGAGCGCTGAGGGACACCGGGGTTTTATGAGGCACGGACATTTATAATTACTCTCGAGTGAAGGGAAAGCTCTCCTGGCGGCCCTGTCAGGGACAGGAAGCTTTCCCATTTCCCTAGCTGATTAGCTGGTGTCTGACGGCAGACAGCAGCGGATGGGCCAGCCTGTGGAAGCGGCACCGGGACTGCCTGCCCGCCACCGACAGCGGCCACTACATCACCTGCGGCGGCATCACCGAGCTGCTGCGGCGCCTGGGCGTGCAGCACCGCGTCTACGAGCTGCCGTCGGGCTGGGACATCACCGAGTGCTTCAGCGAGGGGGACGCGGTCGGTGGCCGCATGCTGGATTTCCTGACGGGCACAAAAAACTTCCAGGGCACGGCCCCGCCGGCGCTGCGGCGGCGGCTGCGGGAGGCGCTGCGCCAGCCCGAGTGCAGCAGCACCAGGGACGGCAGGGTCATCTTCAGCAACAACCTCAGCATGATCGTCGTGGACTCCTAGAGCCCGGAGCCTGCCCGGAATTGGGGTTTTTTTAATGCGTCCTGTCTGTGCTTTCACCGGGACTTCCACTTTTCTGTGCAGCCAGCGTGTTTTACACACCTACAGAGCGGTCTGCACCACCTCTGCAGCTGGGAGGATGTTATAAATATGAAATAGAAAAGTTATATGCTATAAGATTGGCTTTCCACAAAATAATTAATGTTATATATATATATATATATATATATAGTTAAAGTGGTTTTGCTGTAGTTTTTATTTTAACTAAATTCAGGCATAGTAGTGGAACAGCTAATGGCTATGATTAGTTATGATGAGTTATACAAATTATACTTGAACTGTCTGCCTGTCTGAGATAACAGCCAGTGAACATATGATGAGGACCCCACTGATGACAGGCCAGTTATCAACACCCAGCATCTGTGGGGAGAATGGACCAAGGCCCAAACTGAAGGCAATAGTGAAGATAGACATGTGCTCTAAAAAGGGGAGTGGCCACGCAAAACAGTTCTTGGAAGAGTTTAAAAATGCATAATTGTTTATGAATATGCAGCAGGCTGATGCAATTGAAATGGTATATAAAGGAAGTGTCCAAAACAGCAGGTGTGCTCTTGGCAGAATGCCAAGCACCCGGCCATTTTATTGTCTTTGTCTCCTATTGTCTTTTTTATTAAACCTTTTAAAATTTACCAGGAAAAGTGAATGTTTTTCTTCACAAGAAGGTGGCAGCCCCTGTGCTGGCTGTGTACAGGCTTCCATGTGTGCCAGGACAAAACCAGCAAGATGTCCTTGCTGCTTTGCACCCAGGTAATGTCACTGCACCCAGGCCTGAGCTGTAAGTTGCTCTACACTAGGCTATTCCACGTGGTTTTATCAGGCATTTACTGCCCCAAGTCTCTCAGTTCCTCACAATATAGAGATGTCTTAAAAATTTATCAGCCTTTTGGTTTGGAAAATATTTTGGAGCCCAGGATGATACTTGCACTGTGCTCTTTCAGGCAGACATTAATTTTGTTATTTTCTTACTACTGTTTGTCTCTGTATAAAATAAAAGCAATCTTAAACCCAAAAAGTCACATCTGGTTCCGCACATGTGGGATTATAGAAAATGAAGAGCAAAGAGGTCATTGAGTTAAAAACAAAAAATATGCGAAGTATCATTTTATGGAACCATTAAGGGATTTCTGTAAGTGAGAAAGATGAGCCTGAGGATGTGGAAGAGCTGGGAGTGAGCTGCAGCTTGTCCTCGTGTTGCAGCCCTGGGAGGCAGCTTGGCTCCCTTGGAGCAGCATCACTGCAGCACAGCCAAACAGCACCAACAGCACTAATATGTGGTCTGTGTGCTAAAATGTTAATATAGGTAAGTTTAGACTATTTCCCCAGGGGCCTGAGCTGTTCAGAGGGTAGAAGGAGGTGCTGCCAGTTCCAAAGGGAGGTGCCACACAGGATGCCAGCGAGGTTTGGGTCTGCATTTGGCACCGTGGTGCGGTGCAGACCTTGGACTGAGCACATGGGGAAAGCTGCCTGCAGTGTCAGCAGCCTCATTGCAAACAGCTCCCAGGGGAGAAACCACCAGCTCAGGTGGGAAATACCTGCAGGCACAGAAGCCATGGGTATGTCTGATTTTTCCATGCTTAAGCTGTGTAGGGCACACCTCTGTGCACCTGGAGGGGCTCAGGTTGATGTGTGGTCCAGATCAAATGGCTTCTTCCGACACCATGAGCACAAAGGTTGTCACAGTGGCTTGCAAGACATTCCATGATTCCATGTCATTGTCACCCTGAGCCCTGCTGATCCTGCTAAAACTGTCCCACCCACCTGAATGCAGCTACTGCCAGCATCACTCTGAAAAGGTAAGGAGTGTGTGGGGTCATTGTGTTTCCACTCCGTCCTTTGGTTTTTTGGGTGGTTTTTTTTAGGTTTGGGTTTTATCATATCTTTTTGAAATGCAGCCATTTCTCCTGAATCTACTGTAACAGGAAAAATTAGAAAAATAATGGGAAAACAGTAGCATAATATCATCTCCCTGGCAGGACTGAGGCACTGCAAGTACTATTGCTGTCAGTTGCAGAAACATCAGTCAGAACTGGACAGCCTCCTCCAGAGTACCCCATACCTGTGCACAAGCTTTTCCCTTTGATCCATCCTATTGTTCATTCCATAGGCATCTCCTTGGCTGGTGCTGGCTCCCAGCACTGGGCAGGGAGTGAACAGCTGGGCTCTCAGCGCTGCTCCCATCAGTGTTCTCCTTCCACTATGAATTCCCATGGTTTATTCCCAATCAGCAGTGATGTCTCAGTCTCTACCTGGTAGATTAAGAGGAAAAATAAAAGGTACCACAAGCCAGGTTTGCTTTTCAAGCTTTGAAGGAAAATCTACCTGTTAGTCTTTGCAGACATTTGGCACAATACAAGTTTGTCCAGATTTTCCCCAGCCCAAGAGGTTTTCCACCCCTCTTTGGAGTTTCTTGTGCAGACAGACGTATTTCCAATAAGCAGATACTCAGCAAGACCCATCTGTGTGCAAAAAATTTACCCACACCATTGCAAATCAATGTGAAAATGCACAAAAAAGAAAAAAGGAGCACTTCAAAGCAGACTGTTTAGTGAAAGGCTGGGGAGATGAAACAGGGCACCCCATTAAAAACACAGCTGATCAATGCTTTATATGTAATTTTTCCTTTGATTCTTCAAAAGCAAGTAGTTTATCAAGAACTCTGCTTGTACACCTGGAATAAATAGCATCCTAAGTGTCCCATTTGTTTATATATTTATTCTTTGGTGAACATACTGTTTAATAACTATTTGTTTTGCTTTCTAAAAGATGCTCTCCCCCCCATGCAGAATTTCAGCCCGTGCTTCCCCAGCAACAGGAGTGTGGCCACGAGAGGGCTGCAGCAGCCAGCGGAATAAATCCGCCTCCCAAAAGGCTGGGAATGCTGAGCTGCAGCAGGCAGGCAGACAAATGACTTCAGCTTCCTTTGCTGGCTCATCACATCCCAGCAGTTGGGGACCACACTTTTTTCTGTTGCACTCATGGGCTCTGACTCCAATTCTGGGCTCTGGTTTGTAAAAAAAAGTCACGATGGCACAAGGGATGCGCAAAATCTGCTTTTGGGTTGTTTTTTCTCCCACGTGATGGCTGCAGCTCGGCTGGAGAGACAGCTCTGGGGACGGGAACACCTTGAAGGGGATGAAGAAGGGGTGAGAGACAGATTCAGCCTAAGCTTTGAGCCAGATTAACCCTGCTGAGCTCAGTCCAGGAGGAGCCCTACTCCATAATGTGTTCCATGGCCATTCCCAGTTAGTGAGGAGCCAGTTCCTCCCAGGGGGAATTGTGATGCTCCATCACAATTTGTGTTTGTTTGAGTTTGATTTGAGTTCATTCCAGCCCAGAGAGAATGCTTTGTGGATAACCAGCCCTGTGCTCTCTGCAGCAGAATCAATGCCTGCAAAACCCAAACTGTACAATTTCACAGATTTTGTCCTCATTTCCAGTCCATAATGTGCCCGTTCAATGCACAGCTCTGATTGTGTTACAGGCCCCTAAAAAGGAGCTTCAGAGAACCCTTTACAACATCAAGGATGGGTAATTTTAGTTTTACTGGGCCTACATGCAGTCTTGGGGGCTGAATGGTTTGTCTTTGAAGTGTTAAGGCTTCTCTACTCATGAATATCATCAGGGGAGTGAAGGTAGTGTAGGAACTGCAAAATCCAGTAGCTGATTTCTGAATAATCTCATTAAAAAACAAGCTCAGTAAAATACTGGAACATATACTGAAAAGATTATACTTAATCTCAGTAGGGAAGGAAAAATAAAGAGGCTGAACTTTTCTCCCTCCCCCTTCAGCATTTTCCAACAGAAATCTGTTGAGGCTTATATCAAACATGTAGGATGGTGCTCACCTTTTTTGGAGCTTAAAAAGACCTTCATAAGAATAATAACCTCCTGGACATAGCTCTAGAAAGGTGTTTATCATCCTGCTTTTTAAACTGCTTTTTTTTTTTTTTTCCAATGTCATATCCTCCAGACTGAGGATGAATATCTAATCCAAGTCTAAAAAATATCTTTATTATTGAGCATCACTCCTTGTAGTCACTCCCCTCCCTTACTGAAGTATCAAATAGAAACTTAAATCTTGCTAAATGGTGAAAGTCCTCTTTGGCAGAGGATATGCTGTTCATCCCCCATTCTCTTTAATGCCTTGTTAACAACAAATAAAGAAAGAAAGAAACAAATCCCTCCAAGATAAATGTTTGTCGTAGAAGCTCCAGCTGGAAAGATCTTGTGCCTGAGGAGGGTTTGTGGAACATGTGAGATGGCAGGATCCCAGTGGGGCTTTTCTTCTCATCCCTGAGAAGGAACAGGGAAGAGCAGAACAGGAGTTTCATTTCCACTCCCCACTTCTGATGACACGTTCGATTAGGCCTGCCAGCAAATTGCTAGAGAAAACATATGTTTTGTCATACACTGGAATGATGGCTCCTCTGGTGAATTTAGGAATGTGATAAGGAAGTTTTCAGAGCGGTCTCTAAGTCCCTATTGCTTTGTTAACATTTTTTAGCATCCTATTAATCACTCTGTATGAATCTGTCAACAGCTGATATTATGGATTAAGGAAGATTACAGCTCATTGCTCCAGTGGCTGTTTTCTTTAGGATTTAACTCCACGGACACTTTGCCATTCACCTCCCTCTGACAAAACCAGCCCCTTGCTTTTGCAACCACTTTGCAGTGCTTCCCTGACTAAGAGTGGGTTTACTTTAAAAAGTATCAAAAATGCTCATCCAGAAGGGAAATGTTTTGATTTTGTTATTTCTGGAAGAAAGGATAATACACTTTCAGTGCTGAACAGATCCACAAGAACCTGATTTACAGATGTTTCCATGCAGATAAATGTTGGCTTTGTTTTGTCATGCTTGTGCAGATCATGTCACTTGTTATTTGGGGAAAGGGGGTGTTATTTGAGGAAATTCAGAAAAAAAGTTCTACATGTGTAATAAATTTAACTCATAGACTTTCTCCATTGTTTACTATCAACAACAGGTCATTCTCCAATTCTATGTATCTGTTATCCACTCTGGGATATAAAGAAATCCTTGTGACTCCTATGATGCAACACAAAGCAGAATTAACACCAGAGAATCAAACAACTCATCCATGAATAACCTTCAGACTAAAAATTATTCACCCAGACTTACCCCCTTGGGCCAGGACTTGTTTTTATACATAAAAACAATAATGCAAAAAATAACAGTTTTGATCTAGACATTCTTCCTGAGCTCACTTAATTCTTACAGCTTGTCTCCAAGGCCTTATCAATCCTTGCTCCCTTCTCTGGCAGAGCATTTCCCCACCACAGCCTCATCCCAAAGCAGCCAAATTAAAGAAAGCTTTCCTCCTGTGCTCAGAAGATGCAGGGTCATGGCCAGCCTCATTCCTGGCTCACCTGCAATTCCTGCCAAATATTAATGCAGGTTTCTTGCTTCAGAGCCTCGGGTGACACAAAGCTCCTCTGGGTGTTTTACTGGGAGCCTCTCACCCCATTACAAATGTCTTAAAACAGCAAGCTCTGCCAGAGCCTGCCTTCTCTGCACTTTGCGTAAATTATCCCTGGGCCACTGCTTAATGTTTATTATTTCTGATGCTTTGAAATTTTAAACTGAGGGCATTAATA